TGGGAATCAAGTGGCCTTCTCAGTGGTACCAGACTGCAATTCTAATCATTCATTATGCGCCATTCTGTTGATTAGAGTCGCACCCAACCACATTACAAGGACAACATATTCCCGATTCCTGCTCTACAAAGAGCACTAGCTTCTAGCACTACACCATGCTAGCCCTTTGTTTAAATACTAATTGGTATATCCTTGATCTTCAATGGCACTGTAGAATGTTTCATGGAAATACACTAACATCTTAGACAAAGATAATGAAATGAGACCTGTTAAGAACAGTAATCAGATCGTGGCAATCCTCCAGCTTACATGCAAAATGTGCCTTACAGGTTTTATTTTACCTAGATGAATCACAACGCCATTCTAGAAGTAGCACATTAAAATTCATCCCAGAGTTACAACAACACAGTAGCAGCCACTACAAGAATTCTGAAAAACCAAGCCTTGCCAGTTTATTTTAAGCTGGTACTATCCTCTATAAATACATCTCCTAGGTGTACTAAGCTGATCTGTACAATGTCAGCTATCTTACTTTGCCTCTACATCTTGTAGAAGTCCTTACACTTTGGAAACATTTGCACTTGGGAGTCCGTACATGACAGATTTTTGTCACCACTACATCAAAAACAAATATATGTTCTTTTAATGTGGCACATAACCTTTTACGGAGGCAGCACTTACTTCAGGGCTGGGGGGGGGCACTATGCCACCACCAATCCACAACAAAACTGCAGTTACCTGTTCTTGTGCCTTTGGGAAATCGAGATTTCAGATCTCAAGAAACTGTTTCTTGATATCTTTTGAAATTTGCACCTTACATGGAATCTCTGCACAATCATACACTGGAAAAGAGACCATACTGGCACACCCTCTGGCACACCCTCACTGTTCTGCTGCACCCTAGTAGCATACCTATCACATACAATGATTCACCTGTAGAGTCAATACATTGGATTTCCTCCTTTTCTACATTTCTGTAAGGCAGATAGAGGTGAACACCTCTCACTAAAGAAGAAAGTGAAGCAAAATGCAACAGTAAGAATAGCAAACTTTCACTCTTAGAGTCTCATCCAGAATCTTGAAGCATTAAGATAATGCCTTAATTTAATCCACCGTAATAAACAGCTAGGCCTGAAAGCTATTCTTATTCTTAAGCTATTCTTATTCTTTAAGCACCTTGCTTCCTTCTCTTTCTCTCAGAACACATAAACAGATGTAACAGCTGACTATTTTGTCTACATATTTGTTTATTTGTTGCATTTCTAACCCATCTCAACATGTTCTGCATGGCACTCACCCACCACCACCATCACTTTCAGCAGAGGAAGTATGACTGGCTCAAGGTTGCAGTGGGTGTCATGGCCAAGTGGAAGCTTAAACCAAGTCTCCTTAGTTGGCTTCATTGTAACACCACTCTGCCTCTACTGTGGAGGTGCAGCAATGGGTAGGGTTTGGTGGGAAATGAATTCCCAGTCCCATAATTCAGCAGGAACTGCCCAGGCTGAACTATGGGACTGGGAGCCACCAAACAACTGGAGGCACAGTAGCCCTCTTATCTTCACACCATCCTGTGCAAAGTACCCAGCTGCACCCTTGCAATTCACTGCTCTACCACCTCCCATTTGATGGCCTCCTGCCCCCTATTTCGACCTGGGGTAGTTACTGCCAAATTATGGGACTGCAAGTTCATTTTCCCCCTAGCAATGAGTTTTCAATGTTCTTGACCCTTGTGGCTTTACACTGTGCTTTCAAAAATAAATAAACAACACAAGCATATTTGTTTGAACATCACCATACAAAGTACCATTATTGCATTATTTCATCACAATTGTGGGGAAACATCTTCCCACTGCTCAGCACATATAACAGAGAAATAGTGGACCATTGGTCCATCTATTCCAATACTGTCAGTTCTGCTTGTAGTGGCAGGATTTCAGGCAGGATTCTTGAAAAGAAGAAAGAAGTGCCCAAGCCAATCCTATTCTTGTGTCGCCTACTGCCTATTGGCCTCACATCCCAGGACCAATCAGACCTCACCCTACTTGGCTTCTGAAATCAGCCAAAATTGGTGTGTTCAGGATGTTATATTGGCTCATTCAGGTTGATTCTCACACACATACACCCACACACACACAAAACCATCCAAAATAATAAAGATATGTATTGTTCTCAAAATACCTGTGCAAGCTTGCTTTTGTGTTCTACTATTTATTCTGCAAGATTAATTTTTAACTACTGCTGGGCTGAAAATCTTCCATGAGAATTTCAATCACTCTCAATCATACAGAAAAGAAATTCTTTCAAAAAAAGAATCCTCCAAAGGAGGAGACTATTTGGATGAATTCTCATGAATTCATGGGAGATGTTTGGGACTCTTCTTACCTTACCTATAAAGTAGAAGAGAACATGTGTGTGCCTTGTCTTTCATTAATCAGTTATTGCTTTGGCAGTCAGCGGCTCCCCCAAATTTAATATCTCACACTGCATTTAAAGCCCAGAGAAAAATAACTCTTTCCACTGAGCTTTTTGAGATCACCAAGTGTGGGCACCTAAGGAAGCTGCAGAATGATGAACAAACGTACAGAAAGAAAAAACAAATGCAGCTCCTCTGGCCGACCTTGCAATGCCAAAATATTCTCCCCCCCATTTTAAAAGGCCCAAGGATAATAAGATAGAAAAATGGAATCCTTTTACATGCAGTGTTGGGGAAATTGCATGGAGCACACTGTGGTATCACATTTTTTACCTTTTTACAGAAATGAACATGACAGGGTCCTGTTTCATCCTCACTACAGCTCTTATGAAGAAAAGGCTACATTACAATAATCTTCCAGCGAAATAAAATGTATCTACAGTAAACAGTATCTAAAAAGGCTGGGGAAGATATTGAACCCAAACAAAAACAAGTGTGGAACAAAAATGTTTCAGAAGACTTTTTTTTTCTCTCAGAAAAAAAATCTGAGATTTTGTTACTCTCCAAAAGACATAAGTATCCTTTCCACAATTGTTTCAAAATGCCTCCACCATGTATTTATTTATTTCAGGCTGCCTGTTTCCTCCCACCACTATCACCTACAAAGACACAAGGTGAAGGGCATTGTGGAGGAAACAAAATGGTGGCCAGAGTGGTCAACTCAGTTGCTTTTGCTGCCACCTGCAGAGACAGTGCAAAAGCCAAACATCTTTGGTTTTAACACAGTTGAAGAATTTCTCCTTATCTTGGAAACATTCAGGGAAATGCCCCCTCCCCCACCCCCATATCCCTTCATACAAGGAAGGTGAATTTTGAAAAGCCACTTGTGCAGAACTGCTTTTTCAACGCATGCTCAGTGTTTTGCAGCATTTTAGGTAAGAGAACATGTTATCTGTGATGGCAGGAGCAGATACATAAATGAAATGATGCAAAAGAGAATGAACTGAGAACAGAAACAGACCAAGCAAGAAACAAATATAAATCTATTCAGAGTACACTGACTACAAGATTTTTCTCCCTTTATTTTTTTCTGTAGACACTGTCTGTCCATTTTCAGGTACCATTTCTGTCCATTTTCAGGTACCATTTCATTCCTATAATAACTTATATTTGCATTTTTAAAAAAAATTATAGGTATCTAAAATATTAGAGTACATCACATGGTACAAAATGACACAGACATTATGAATCTGACTCGCCACACAACTTATGAAATATCATCTGGTGTAGAGCCTCTGTAACTGATGAGATGTGTTTTGAGTTTGTGAAGCAACAATATAGTAAATGCAATAAATATGGAAAAAAAACTGATTCTGTTACAGGAAAGAAACAGGCAAATAGGCCTTACAGTAAATAATAAAATATTCATCATAATAATGGACTACTATCATCTTGATAAACACTGTAATCCTATACCCATTTCTCCTATGAGTACGCCCCACCGAATTTAAGGACTGTACTAATTTGCTTTTCATACTAATTATACTTTTCTTACACAATCGGTAAAACAATCCTGAAATACAGAATCACTGACATCTGACAGCATGAAAAGGCATCTGCTTTGCTGTTCCTAATCAAACAAATAATTTTATAAAATATACTTTTGATAATATTTTATAAGAGCACAATCCGATCATTAGTTCTCCCTACAACACCCAGAAAAACAGCACACTAAATCTTGGCACGTTGCCTAGGGACAGGCCTGAACACTATAGTTTTAATATTCCTGGAAACAGGACACTTCTCCCAAATTCAAGCATGTCTAGCTGAACAAGTTAGGACCAAACTGAATACCAACACAGCTATAAAATAATCTACCTTTTTTTTCCACAGCACTAGTCTATTTTATGCACACCTAGAGTCTGTACCGATTCATTTCACTGGGAACCTTGTGCTATCTGTCTCTCTACCAGAAGGATCTGGTGACAAAAATTTCAGGTGCATTTTCTCCACCAATACTCTGATCTTTCAGGTGTCACAAGACTCCCAGTCTTTCTCCTAATGTTTGGGGGAACGTCATTACCAGCCACAATAAATAAATACAATTTTATCAGGTTTTTTTACACACGCACATCTAATCTGTACACAAAACTGAGCAGGCCTTGAATTCCCCAGTTCATAAAGCCATACGGACGACCCCCGTCTGCCATTTACTGGACTAGACGATCAGCTGTTTATAGTAACTAACAACCCTGGGTAGATTCCACCACGGACCGGGGCGGAGGGAGGGAGGAAACCATGACTGTGTTGTGTTACTCATCGCCGCTGTGACATTTACATCCTCTTCTCAAGGACACTGCAGCGCGTTAAGAGCACCACACATAATGGACCGCGATCTTCTGGTTGCTCGAGAAAGGCTTTTAGGGTCGAGGACGAAGAAAAGGGATTACATCGATTTCATATTCTGCGTCCGAGGAACCACTGTGTATATATAATTTTTTTTTTGTAATGATAACTTCTTTACATCAAATGTTGAGAGGGTACTTGGCAATACCCGAAGAAAGAAGACGAGCGATCGGTGCCTTACCTTTTTAACCTGATCGTCTTTTAATTCCGTGAAGTAATAGGCCAGAAGCTGGGCAGCTATCATCTTGTCCGGTTAAATAAGACGTCTCTCGGGGGAGGGGGGGGAACCAACCGCTGACCCAACACAAGGGGGAAAGCGACGCGGATCTTTACGAGCAAAGTTGCAAAACGATGCGTGTATTTCCTGCCTTTTCTCGCCTCCCTCTTCTGCAAGGCGACGAATGTAAAGATCCTTCGGCTCCGCAAGGTAAAATTCACCCCCCAAAAAAACACAGAGAGAGAGAGAGAGAAAGATGCAACCTCCTTTTCCCCTCCTCCTCCTTTCCCTCCACGCGATAGTGCCTGCCTCGAAAACCTGCCCACTTCCTGCGATGTGATTGGCTGCTCCCGGAGAGCAAGGCCGCGTTGGGCCAAAAAGAGAAGCCTCTTCTTTCCCCCCCCTCCCCTCCGCGCGCGCAGCCCCGGGCTGATGGGGAACCTCGGCGGCTGCCTCCTATGGGCAGGAGAGGGGCGGAGGCCCCTGTGGCCATCCCCGAAAAGCATGCATCCGTGCACGTCCCCCCACCCCGCCCTGGAGGACGCGATCGAGGCAGCCAGCCGGTCTCGGCGTTGGTCGAGGGGTATGCGCTGGATCAAAGCGGGGATGGTGCTGGGGATGCTTCCCCGGATTTCTACCCGCGCTGTCAAAGGGCTCCTCCTTAAGACAGTGGAGGGATGGGGGGAATCTACGGGAACAAGTACAAGGCGGAGGGGCTTTTTGCAGCCTGGTCAGTCTTAAGCTGCAAAAAGACCCTGATGTTGGGGAAAGTGTGAAGGCAAGAGGAGAAGGGGACGACAGAGGACGAGAAGGTTGGACAGTGTCATCGAAGCCACCAACATGAATTTAACCCAACTCTGGGAGGCAGTGGAAGACAGGAGGGCCTGGCGTGCTCTGGTCTATGGGGTCACGAAGAGTCGGACACGACTTAACAACTAAACAACAACCCCTCCCCCAAAGCGAATTGACAGTATTTCGGACACGGTTGTGCAGAACCCCTGCTCTCGCTCCCTGCAGCTCTTTCATCTCTGACTCGGTCTCTCCTCGCCTGCCGGTAGGTTTTGCAGTTTTGCAACCATGGGGAAGGAGAGCCAGCCCTGGCAGGCAGCCAACGCACGCACAACCCTCGGCGCGGGGGGGGGCTACCGTCTGCTGAGCAATGTGGGCGTCACCCAAGGCGCCGTCACGTGACCCACGGACGAGCCCTCCGATGATACAGCATCATCCTCTGGCTCTTGCATCCTCCCGCCCGCCCACTCTGGAGGAAACGGGGCGCCCGAGTTTTTCCTCAGAGGCCGGCTAGCGTGGTTTGATAATCCACAGACCGTATTCCCCTCCCCTCGACCCTGCCTGCCACCTTAGGCAAACTGAACCCCCCCTATTGTTTAGCCCCTGCAGAAATCCACAAGGCGCTGTCCGGTGTAAAAAAATGGAGAAGAAACAATCACAGAATAGGCTGGGCAGATTGTACAGTACCCTGACATCTTTAGACATGATTGTAACGGCAAAATTATTAAAAATGGTGGCATCCAGAGGCGGCAAAATAAATTCTTGGCCTTATAATGTACATGCAGGGTGCTTTAAAAATATTTTTGCCTAATGAAACAAAAACTCAGCAAATGCAAAAAATATATACTTGAACAAAGATGCTGCCTAGAGTGGTCTTAACCGACCAGCTAGGCGGGATATTAATTAATTAATTAAATGCTACTTGTCTGATGGTTGTTGTGGGTTTTTCTGCTGTCCTCTGAAGATGCCGGCCACAGAGACTGGTGAAATGTCAGGAAGAAAAAACCTTCAGAACATGGCCAAAGAGCCCAAAAAACCCACAACCATTAGATCCCGGCCATGAAAGCCTTCGTGAATACATGTTACTTGTCTGTTTGGAGGATGTTTTTAATGCGACCTCTTGCAATCTTAAATCATTACAACACGTTTTGCCCCTTTGGAGCTCTGCCGTTCTACTTCCACTCAGCCTTCAGTTATTCCCAGATGTGATATAACAAAGACACCATTGTTTTCTTTTGTATGCGTGAAGGCCCTACACTAAGTTTCTCCACCCATTGTGTCTGATTATAAGGCTAGACTCCTTGATTTAGGGGGATGTTTGTGATGGCTCCAGTATTTCTATTTGCAATTCTAGATTTTAACTCAGAAGAGATGGGAGAAAAGAGACACACAGCCTTGAAAGCAGAAAAGGGCAACTTTAGCTCTCAGGTTACTGGACTGCATCTCCCAACAATTCTGGCCTAGAGAAGCAATAGTACAGGATCATGGTGATGGTCACAGCTGCTCACCCTCATTCTCTTCCTTCCTATGGCATTTTTGCACTCACATTCCATACCGTTAGCACTTTCATCGTAGAAGGTGAGATTCATTATCAATCTTATGCTATTAAAAGTATTTAGGAAAAGCAGTTTTCCCACAACAGAGAAGCATTACTTTGAGGTACAATGTCTGGTTCCTGAGCAATAACCAGATAATTTTTGTATGCACTTACTGTACAGAAAAGGGCATCATCTTGAAAAGCTTTAAGGCTGCAGTCTTATGAATAGTTAACAAGGGAGAAGTGGTATTTATAACTGTGGAACTGTGCAGAAGTCTGGGCTGTTAAATAATTTGTGCACTGGTATGAGCTTTATATTTTCATATACTCTCCCTATAAACCACTGAACAAACATTGGAAAAGTATACAGAAGCAAACCAAAGAGGAAAATGTCAGCATTTCCAAGGAGAAGTGGGTTCTGTCAGGTTTGAAGCAGGTCATTTCCACAAGAGATTCATGCAACAGCTGATGGGATAAATTCCTTTGCCCCCTCATTTATCAAGGGCATGTTTACTACCAGCTGTTTGATGGCCTCTCAATGCAATCAGAGGACAGGATAATTGTCATTTTTGTCCCAGATTACCCAACAAACAGTCTAAATCCCAGGGAGATGAACGATACAAATTAAAGATAGGAGCACACTGACATTCCTCCTAATTAAAATCCCACCTAAAAACTGTCTTACAGGGAGGGACTTATATTAATCTGCATGGTACATATGATGCAGGCCACACTTTTTGTCCTAATAGGCCATAACTGTCTATTCTAGCTGGTAGCAGCCATCTGGGGTTGAAGACACTTGATACCTGAACCTTTTAAGGAGCTATCTCTGGTGTTGTGCCAGGGACCTTCTGTATGAAAAGTATGTATTCCTCCACTGAGCTAATGACCAATACCTATTACAGGGAGCAAAGGCAAATGAGCACTTTTGGGAAATTCCTATAATCTGTACTCATGTCTGGAAACCAACCTCCTTTTAATTTTAATTCCAGGAGGTAGTGTTCGATCAAAAAAGTCTGTCCTGTGGCACCTTAAAGTAATTAAGAATTTTACTGTTGGCAGTCTCTTGCATCAGATGCACAGCAGGAAGAGAAGACATTTTACCCATTTTAAAGTCTCCATGTGGTTAGATTATGTGGTTCCCTGGAGACTAGGTTATACTGTTGCTGTTATCAGCTGTTTTTTTCCCCTTGAATTTTATTGATTGATCAATACAAGATGATTACTTTTCTTTATAAGAGGAACTGTGCTATGTTTAAGTTGCCAAGAGATATACATGTAGATATATTAGCCATATATTCCAGCCAGATAAACAAAAAGCTAATGAAAATCCATGCTGGTGTTTATAACAGCAAACTGTGATGACAGACCCAGTAAGAAAATTAGTACTTTACGGAAGAATAAGAATGTTTGTGAAATGTATTTGAGTGGTATTAATGAGGCAATGGCTTCTGCCTTAGGGAAATATATCTTGAGATCTGTGTTGCTTTTCCTCATTCCTTCCTTTTAATAACCCAATTCCTTACTTAAATACTTTGTTCTAAGAAACTCAGAGTACACCAGGTACATATTTCATCCACAAAAAAGTCAAATGAAGGGCAGTCATGTCATACCGTTTCCTGTGTTGGGCAAGAGGAGGAGTTCAAGGCAGAAACAAGGAAGATCAGGCAGAAACTACACATTTCAGATATTGCCCTGTCAGTTGTCTGAACACAACTGTTTCACACATGCTGTTTTAATGTAGTTCCTCCCATTCAAGCAGGGCATGGAACAGCCACCAACCTGCAGATGCTGGGAGGCTCCCTACCATTACTGACATTGTCAGGGTTGGACAGCCTCACCTGCTTGCCATGAGGGGGAAAAGGAGCCACTGGGGCTGCTCTACCCCTGGCAAAAAATAGTTGACAGCCAGACAACCAGTGCTGAGGTGGCTGGACTGCCTCCTCACCACTGACTTGGCAGCAAATCTGCTCTTCCATGAGAGGCAATGCCACCAGCATCATTTTTGCCACATGTTGATCCTGACTCTAGCGCTATAAGCAGCTGGGAAGCCTCCTAGCATTAGCTGGCCTGTGACAGCCCTGGCACAGTTTAAAAATAGTGCCATTGCACACTTTTTAAAAACTGTACCAGGGCTTGCAAATTCCCTTCCAAATCTTCCCATACATGTAGTTACGGCCCTGGTTTACTTCCCCACTCCCATTATACTTCTAGTTACATACAGCAAAACTTTACTACAGACCAGTAGGATTCACATCAAATTTGTTGCTCAGTGATACTGTGCACTTCATCCCCTTGAATTGTTCCTGTTCTAACTTGGATTCCACACTGTATATGGAATCCAAATACTTGTATGTAGAATCCAAATATTGTACATAGATGTCTCTTCCATGTACACAATTCATAATCATTATAGTTTGTCCCTTGCAATATTTTGCTAGAAAATTCTGTTGCCACAACTGGCATAATTTCATGCCATTGTAATTTTTTTTAATCAATCAGTAACATATTCTGAAATCAAATGGGTCTTGAATGGAAAAAGTCTCATGCTCTTCATGCAAAGACTTCCAATCACTGTAACATTTAGGACTTCTATCTGTAGCTATTTTTTGTTGCTTTGGATCCTACTTAGGTTGAAGAAGATGGGACAAAAAGTGCTGAACATTTATGGCCAAAGTATACATGAGGAGGAAGATCCATATTTGTATCAAAATACAGTAGTGCCTCAACTTACCAATGTCCTTACTTACAACTATTTTGAGTTACAACCAGCTCCAGCACAAAATTTTGCTTCTACTTGTGACTGGAGCTTTCACTTACAAACAGAAAAAGGCAAGGAAAAAAGGCAGAAAATTCAAATTTCTAATTGTAGGTGGCGATGAGGCTGCTTCTTTGTAGCTCTTTCGCCCGAGCAGTTAGAGAGTGTGTGGAGGAGGCTTGGGACTGCCTCACTTCTTCTGCTGAGTGAGTGTG